GGGTCCACACAGCTGCTCCGCACGACTGCCTACCCGGCGCACTGCGGGTGCCATCGCGTATCCAAGAGTTAAAACTACGTACGACTGTGTTGATCGAACTGATTCGGCTGAGAGTTGTCAAATCTCGTAAGCTTTAAGCCGAGTCTTGGCAATCGCCCGCGGTGAGCCACGGCGGCCATTAAGGCAAGGATTTTCTGCATATTTCAACCCACATTTCACTTCTACTACCCCCCCACCTGAAGGCGCCACCGGGGGCAAGCGAGACATCCGATCGAAAACTTTACTGCTCAGTTAATACTCCACGACTTTCGCGACACGTACATAAAGAACGTGCTTCAGAGCTCCTCCGATGTACAACATTGCAAACTAGCACACCGTAGCTGGTGCAAATTAAGTGACCATCGTTCTGTAGACAGATATGACGGATTTTAAATATAATTTTCAGCTGCTTGGTAGAAAACTTTTGGTACCACAAAGGGCAAGAAATGATTAAGATCTACTAAGCATAATTTTACTTCTCACTTAGTTGTGATTGCATATTATGGGATAGCCAACACCTAGATAAATTTACAGCAGAATTTCAACATCATACTTTGACAACTAGAGAGAACAATTATAATTCTGAAATGGGGAGAATCTTAGAAAAGCTATCACACAGGGGATATATAAACAACTGAAAAATCCTATACACTTACTTAGGTGCATATAATTCTATCATCCATCTATGCAGTAAGATCTCAATAACGGAAATGAATTCAATCCATCATACCACATGGAAAAAGGATGACAAACGTCTACAGCAAAGGTGTAGGATAGAAATGGGCAAAGTAAAAAGAGGACGAGTCCTACACAAATCAAGAACACTATCATTGTCTCTTCTACAAACAGATTAGTGCTACTTGAAGATGACAAGTTCTTAGGTTTAACGATATTAACTTCATTGCCTCTTTTCTATTCCATTCTTGTATATAAAGGTTGACAATGAAAAAATTGTTGACAACTTTCAAACTTTGTTTATAAAACAGATGGATATAAATAGAACAAACTGAAACTTTTTGTTTTACTGTCACTGTTTCCTGACTGATTCTATCCCTCCCCTGGGCCAAAGAACAGCTTTGATCACTAACCTTGGAGAACTTGAAGCGTATCCGGCCTTAACGAATTCAGACTTTGGAGGTGTTCTTTAAGTTATACATGGCATTGTTCTTTCCATGAGTATGAGGAAGAGCACCACACACACCTGCCACGTTGTCCCTCTGGTATGCACAAACAAAACAAAAAAAACAGTCAATGTGATAAGTCTTCAATCTGATATGAATTTTCATGATACGGGGAGACTTACTTGTCAATAAAATCAGATGAATTCATGAAATTTAAAATAAGTCATAGTAAGAACAAGTACAGCCCCTGGAATGAAGATTTAAAAAAAAACATTAGCACCCCATCTACAAACAAATACTTAACATTATAAAGCAAACTACTCCTGTGAATATCCTCTCAAATGCAGTTTTCACAATAAAAATATATGTATTTACATTCAACCACTTTTGTTTACCTCGAATGTTTAGTTTGACTTCGGAGGTAGATTGTGCAAGCCCCAAATTACAGATTCTCCACAAAGAGCAGAGAGGTAATAGAACATCTGCCTGTTCCAATGTAACAAACTCGAGGCCAAACAGGTTGGGAATACATAGACCATTAGCTCCAATTCTAATTAGATAATAGGGCCACTTGATTTTAATAGATAGCTGAGGGACAAAAAAAGGATCAGTTTACAAGCTTAGTTTTTTTTTATTCTAATGCCAACCATCCAGGGATGCAACAAACTATATATATGTTCCCTCAAACCCGTATTATAGTTTGATGGCTTCACAAAAAATTCCCCAAGAGTGCCATGTGAAAATTCAACTCACAATAGACTTTATTTCAATCAAGACCACATACCTGCTCACATGAATGTTGATCAACAGTTGTGCGTTGACCAGACTTGTATTCCAAACGGACAAGACGGGCAGTCCTACTGGAGCCAAATACGTTCTCGGCTCCATCATCAGATTGTGACAGAATGTACAGCAATTGGAATTGTAACCTAAAATTTAAAAGTAATAACAACAGTAAATAACAAGTGTAGATAGCATTAAATAGACTTGCAGAACAAAGTAAAACATAGTACCGAAATACTAACCAAGTCTTTTCACTCAATGTCCTAAAATCATAACCGTGACGAGCTGCACCATTTTTCAACTGAAGAGTTATGGTACAACAAAGCAAGATCTCTGAATTCCATTGGACATCATTGCAGATAGAACAATGAGCCATTGTTTGGTATATTGCCAGTGCTAGACAATTGAGAATTGGGGTTAGGAACTTGGGTATCACCTGCCTGACAACAAATTAAGAGTTACAGCAGACATTATATTGAAGCTTCTGAGAAGATAAGAAATCAAGATAAGAATCGAACAGTACCAAAATATAGGCAGATGAAAACAACAACGAAACAATCGAAGGAAATGAGCTTACCATTACACAAGATTTCGATCATGGCTGATCGGATGTAAAGCCGAGCTGCTTCTTCTCTTATTCAGAATAAACTCAAGAAATAACGTAGAACAAACGTTTATAAGAAAAGTATGGTTACCAGGCACATCCAATTATTTTTGTTGTCCGTGTTTGTTCATGTGTACGAGTGAAGTTGTTTCGAACTTGAACCGTTCCCAAAGCGCAGACGACGCCTCATTCCCTTGTTTGTTGTTTGGGTTTTGTTGTGTCATGGCGCCCGCTGAGACAGCCTGCGAATAGCCACATCGTTACATCTTGGCAGAGCCGAATGAGGAGCGGAGACAAACAAGCAGAAGGAGCAGCTCGTAAATAAACAAAACCCACCGTGACTGTAGAGTTGATTGTGTTCAAGATATGGAACCAATGCCAATAACGTTATACAAGGCAAGTCGGTTAAAGTACTGGAACTACGTGTACTTGCTGTGTTCGTGGTCGGTGACGTGACGTGACGTGAGACAGCGCGGGGGCAAAAGGTAAGTCATGTCCGGCCACAACCCTCCGCGTCTTACCCATTTGCAACTCATGAAAAGACTTGTATCAAAAATAAATGATGACGATGCATTATCACTTCTTCGATCGCCAGTGAGGTTGCCAGTTTTCAGACTTTCAGGGTAGTGTGGAAAAGTAAGACCTAACTCGAAAGTTTGCAATAAGTATCCAATGGAAATGAGTCAAACTATTTTCATTATTATTACCATTACATAATGCTGTAGCGTAGTTCAAAAGTAGCATTTGTAAAGTACCCCAATGACCCTTACTCCTACGCCTCTATTACACATTTGACGCGTCTTAACAACAATGTTCTATCTGCAGCGTGCAGATTACACAATGTTCTATCTGCAGCGTGCGGATTACACAATGTTCTATCTGCAGCGTGCGGATTACACAATGTTATATCTGCAAAACGCAGGTTTCGGGACACATTAAAAAGAATGCTTATTACTCCGTAATTGCTCGCTCTACTTCACTTTTTGCAGTCAATAATTAAACATTGGAACTTTACAATTCTTCCGTGTGCTCAGATTGGCCTTAATGTCTTCCAGTTACTTGCAAACCACACAAAGATGAAGGGCTGCGCCTAACCCCGTTTTGCAGATAGAACATTGTGTATTCAGCACTCTGCAGATAGAAAATAGTGTATTCAGCACTCTGCAGATAGAACATTGTTGTTAGGATGCATCGAATGTGCCTCTCTTCTATTTCAAAGTTGCTTGTGGGCACCTTTCAGCAGTATGTTGTACTGTTTTAGAGAAATGTCGTTATCTGTTTGTGATTGGCAGGCAGTAAAGCACAAACTTCAAAATATGAAAAATACTTTATTCAAATTGTCTGACTCACATAACAAGGAACATTTGCATGTATGCTGACACGTCAAAGACACACCACCTAACTGAACATTTCTGTATGTGTAGGCAAAGTAATTTCAATCCCTTTCCCCCTCTAACCCGCCCTCTGAGGTTCCGCCGGGTGCTCGGACGGGAGGCTCTGCGTCCTGACGTGCAGGTGCCTTAGGCAGCTTCTACTTGCCTACGCGCCGAGCGAGAAGCAACTCGTGCGTGCGGTACAGCATAAATACAGAAGTGAGCGAGGATAATCAGCCACCTGGTACAGATTCCTGATTGGTCGGGCCTTCACCTCCTCTACCTGCGATATGTAGAGGCGGAAATCCCTCGAACATGCCGACAGCGGTGAAGTGCCGCCGGGTGCTCGAGCGGGAGGCTGAAGGGCCTGACGACGTGCAAGTGTCTGAGCATGGGGCGGAGCGCCCCAGCCGTCGTCCTGGCCAGCAATCCCTTGAACATGCCGACAGCGGTAAAG